GGATCATGACCTGAGCCGAAGGCAGTCGCTTAACCAACTGAGCCACCCAGGCGCCCGAGGTGGTTTTTTTTTTTTTTTTTTTGAGAGAGAGAGAGTATGTGTGCATAGGCAAGGATTGGGGGGAGGGATGGGAGTGGGAGAGTGAGAGAGAATCCCAGGGAGGCTCCACACTCAGCACAGAGACCAATGCTGGGCTCAATCTCATAACCCCAAGATTATGACCGGAGCTGAACTCGAGTCTGATGCTTAACCGACGGAGCCACCCAGGTGCCCCTATAACCTTGGTTTTAATATTCTTTCTGGAGAACACTTCCTGGTTTTCTCCTATTTGAATGTGGCAAACCAATAGAGAGTCATGGTTACGTTGGATATGGCTGATTGTCAATCTAGTCACTTTCGTATTTGCTGAAGCAGTTCTGCGATTAAAAAGCTAGAGCAAAATCTATGATCTGTACATTGATAATTATTTTCTCATTTGAGCCCCACAACCCCTGAGGTAGGTAGGGAAGGTATTCTGTCTGTTTTTGGGTGAAAAAACGGACACATTTGCATGAGGTCATGTGGTCTCGGGCCTGGATTTTTGGAGTCCTCCTCCTGAGGAGATTATATTCTCTCTGTGCTGTTCCTTCTTCTCAGTTTGGTTTTTACTCCTTCGTTCAGTGGCGTTTGTTGAGCACGTTCAATGTGTTGACCTTCGTACTGGGTATTGGGGCAAGTAAAACGATCAGAAAAAACATCTTCAGGCACTCCCTCCTTCAAAGTCAAGTGAGGAGACCACCGTAAACACAGCCACAGAGGCACCTGGGTGGCTCAGTCAGTTAAGCTTCTGCCTTCAGGTCAGGTCATGATCTCAGGGTCCTGGGATCGAGCCCTGCATCGGGCTCCCTGCGCCCCTCCCCTCGTTCATGCTTTCTCTCTCTCTCAAATAAATAAAATCTTAAAAAAAAAAAAAAATCACGGCTACTTGAAGTTCTTAGAGATTAGAGCTAGACTACTGAGGAGGAAATGAACCACTTAATGAGAGATAGGAAGACACAGAGAAGAGGTAAAAGAGAAACTGGATGTTAAGTGTGGAATCAGAGTATTTGGCAGAGGGAGGCAAGGGGATCAGCAGATTTGCTAGGCAGAAGGAGCATGATGTGCTCCAGTAACTGAATTATCTAGATTGAGGAGCAGGGGCATCAGCAAGTTTAACAAAGGAGAACAGGGTCTCCTGTACCATACCAGGGATGTGGGCTTTCTCCTGAGCCTGTTCTCCACTTGGGGTAGATATACCATTGGGGCATTTGGTTGTTTTCCAGGGGATACCTGGAGCTGCATGCCTTCCTAGAATGCCAGTGAAATTT